CCCCTGGTGTCCTCGCCCCCTCCAGTGTTCTCGCACCCCCGCCCCCGTGTCCTCGCCCCCCACCCAAGCTCGGGCCCTATCCTGACGACCTCGCCCCATGTCCGCTCCCCGCCACCGTGTCCTCGCCCCGCGGCCGCGCGGCTTCCCCGTCTGGCCCGGTTCTCCTCCAGCCCAGCTCGGGGTCGCAACCACGCCCTCGGGACGCGCCCCTCCCGCGTGCCCTCGCCGCGCTGGGCCCGCAGTCCCCACGCCTCTCCCGACTGGTCGCGGGCACTCCCCGGCCGGCGTCCCTCCCTCGCGCCCCCGCCGCGCTCCCCCTCCAGGCCGCGCCCCCGCGCGGGGCCTGCTAGCGCTCGGGGCGGGCGGCTGGCGCGCCATGGGCAGCGGCAGCAGCCGGAGCGGCCGGACCCTGAGGCGGCAGCGCAGCCCCGACAGCCACCCGGCTGGGCCAGGCCAGGCAGCCCCGGAGGGCGGGGCGGCGACGGCGACTGCGGCCGAGGCCCCGGGGGCAGGCGCGACGGCGGCGCAGGAGGCGGCCGGCCACGACCCCGGCCCCGCGGCGACCCCCGACGGCCGGGAGGAGACCCTGCGCCTGCTGGACCAGCTGCTGGCCGAGTCGGCGGCCTGGGGCCCGCAGGAGCCCGTCCCGCGCGGCGCGGCCCGGCCCCGACCCGCCGCGGGCGCCCGCAGCGCGGTGAGTGTGGGAGCCGGCCGCACCGGTGCACCGGCCTGGCCTGCAGTCCCCTGCCCGGCCCGCCGTCCCCTGCCCGCAGGCCTCGGCGCCTGCCCCGCCCTCCCAGTGTGCCTCCCCGCAGCGGGGCCTCCGTCGCCGCGTCCCTGGCAGCCTCCCTCGCTCGCGCGACGCCTCTGCCCGCCTGCTCACCCGCGCGTCCCCACCGAGTCCCCACTGGGGCTCTCGGTCTTTCCCTAACACTCTGCTCCTCTCTGGGTGCGGGTCTGGCTCCAGTTTGGGGAGGTCTTGCTGGGAGCAGTCTTACGGATAGACAGACATCCCTGGAGCGCACTTGCTTTCCCTCTGGGGCTGGAGTGCCCGCTCTCAAAACGCAGGGTCCTTGCAGCCCAGGTGGGAACTGGCCAGCAGTCTGGCCTTTCCTCAAGGGATCCACCCTGGCCATCTGTGGGAGGAGGTGCTAAGTGGTGGACAGTCGGCCAAACAGTGCTTCAAAACCGCCCTGCCGAGTCCATCGCATCCGGATCTTTGCCTTGCTGGTCAGTCAATTCCCATATTACTGGCTATTTTTAAGATGCTGTGGAATCTCTTTTTAGCTTCCTTATTCTCCCTTCCAGAACACTTGTAATAACAGCCCTGCTGTTCTAGAAAAACAATACCGACCAGCGCTCTGGCTTGGCAGTCTTCGCTCCAGCAGAGCTGATGAGCGGGATCCTAGCTGCAGCTCCCGGCTGGAGAAGGACGCCAAAGCAGCCCCCTCCTCCCTGGAGCCCCCAGGTCTGGCTTGACAGCTGCCACCCAGGTCCAGGAAGGCCTCCCTGGGCGGCTTCAGGCAGGGGAATCCTGAAAAGGCCTCAGGGGGGTTGGGAGAGGGACAATCCAGTGACACAGGCCTTTGGTGCTCAGATCCCCTGCCACCCTGCTAAAGGCTTTTAAAAAGGAAAAGTGAGCTTCAGAGAATAGGACGACTGAATTATATAACAAGATTCCTTTCAGACTGCATCAGCATTCAGTTATATAACACTAAAAAACCCAACAGTTGAGAGATCTGGGAAAGATTCTGACATAGCAAGGAAGTAATTTTTTCACTGTTTATTTTCAAATGCTTGGGAAGCTTCAGAAGTGAAAATGAGGGAGAAAACTGCAAGAATGAATTTTCCCTCTGAGTATCTAGTGCCTGCTCACTCTGTCAGGTACTCCCAGGAACTCCTTGGGCACCTACCAGGTAGGGCCTTGCTCAGGGTGCCAGAGATGAAGACAGGTGCACTTCCCACTGGTCCTAAAGAGGTCTGAAGTCCCAAGGGAGAAAGATCTCCAGATAAAAAGAAGGAATGCAGTGTGGCCAGTGATCTGTATGATGAGTCCACACCAGGGAACAACGACGCCTTCCCAAAGGTCCAGTTGAACCGAAGGTCTGTGGACATTTTCAGGGTGAGCAAAAGAAAAATAAATTTCTGGGAGGAGATCTGTGCACAAGTGGTGGTGGCCAGCATGTCGTGTGGGGTGTAAGGTAAAAAGGTCTTCTGCGTGTACGCCACGCCCCAGGCATGTCGTGCTAAGGGCATCCTGTCAGGGGCTTTGAACTTTACCATGAAATTTGTAGGTGTCTTTTTTTTTTTTTTTTTTTTTTTTTAGTGCTAGGGACTGAACCTAGGGACACTGTATCACTGAGCTACATCCCGGCCCTTTTTATTTTTTCTTTTGAGACAGTCTTGCTAAGTTGCTGAGGCTGTCCTCAAACTTGTGATTTTCCTGCCTCAGCCCCTGAATACCTGGGACTACAGGTGCATGCCACCATGTCCAGAAATTTGAAGGGTAAGGGGGTGACATTTTGTGTTGTAGGAAGATGCCACCAGTAGTGTGAGGGGGATGAACTGGAGAGAGGAAGGCAGGAGTGCCACCAGCAAGGGGAACTACTCCAGTCTCCAGGTGACAAAGTCCTGGACCCAAGCAGTAGCAGTGAGAGGCTTGGGATAGAGTCAGGTGGTGGTGATGGCACCCAGTGGGTGCCTTATTGGTATCCCATAGACCATGAATGTTTCTTGAATAAATGAATGAATGACTCCTAGACTCCTCCATTATCAGGGCTGTAAGGGAACCCTTGAGCCCAGTTCACTATTTTCAGGTCCAGAGAATCCTCGAAACGCAGTGGCTCCAGGTACAGCTGCACACTGGCAGGCTGGGTTCACACCTCTGTGCTCTGTAGATGGCACCCTTGGATTGGTCGTCTCAGCAGCCGCATAGTTGACAAGACTCTGGGTTACTAAAACACCACTGAGCCGGGAGAGAATTGGGAGATTGATGAGAAGGGGTTTGAAACCCCTCAGAGAAGCTGGTCTTTCTTCAGAGCATTTGAAAGAATGACCCAGAGAACAGAGAAAAGGCTTGCTTGACTGTGGGCCTAAATAGCAATGTTAGTTTTTGCAGGAAGGCGGGAAGAAAGCCTTTAAGTTCCTAAGGTCTGACATTTAGGAGGGCAGAGGTGTTCTCCATCAGAAAACATCAGAACTAAGTGGTAATTCACCTCTTAAACACCCACTTCTACTAATTGTAATCTCTGTTGACTACAATGTTGTAAAATCTGATTATGTGTATCCCTCAATCATTCTGAATATCATATGTATTTTAATGAACACTTGGGTCTCAGAGGTGTATTAACTCTTTCCACCTTCATTCCATATTTTAAATATATTTTTATTCTTAATTAGTGTATAGTAATCATACATATTTATAGGGTATGGTGTGATATTTCAGTACATGTGTAGAGTATATAATAGATCAAGGTAATCAGCATATCTACCACAACAGATAAATATCTCTTAATTGTGTTGGGGGACATTTAAAATCCTTTCTACTAGCTATTTTGAAGTATACAGTTAATTATTTAGTTTTTATTCTGCTGTGCTGTAGAACATTGGAAGTTATTCCTCCTGATGTGCACGCCTATAATCCCAGAGGCTCTGGAGGCTGAGGCAGGAGGATGGCAAGTTCAAAGCCAGCCTCAAGAAAAGCGAGGTACTAAGCAACTCAGCGAGACCCTGTCTCTCAATAAAATAAAAAATAGGGCTAGAATGTGGCTCAGTGATCAAGTGCCCTGAGTTCAATCCCCAGTACCCGCTCCCCCCAGAAAAAAGTTATTCCTCCTATCTAGCTGCACCCCTGTGCCCACTAACCATCCTCTCCCCATCCCTCCTCCATCCACCATAATTGTTATCCATTTCTACAAATGAGAAAGAGGAAACAGAGGCACAGAGCAATTATGTAACTTGACAAAAGCCTCCAGTTATGGAAGAGCAGAGACTAGAACCCAGTCATTCCCACACCCATTTCCTGCCCAGACGGCTGTGGCACCTGGGACTTCTGCTTGGTGTTGACTTTCTGCCCTTCCTTCCGCCAGCCTCTGTAGCTGTCGCTCCTGGCTGTGATCAGCCACCCCACCACCCACCTTTCTCTGTATCCTCCAGCTCTCCCTCGCCAGACCCCGTCTCTCTGAGCTGCTGCAGTTGGGGAAGGAGAAGCAATGTCAGGGCCCGATGGGTTTCGTAGAAGGATAAGCTTCTGATTTAAGTCCTGGCCAGGTTCCTCCATGGCCTGGACAGTCGTGGCTGCAGTCACCACCTTCATGGCAATTATCTTAGCTGGGCAGGTGATCTCTTCTTATGGCTTACATCCTAGTTCCTGGTGGCCTTCTGATATACTGGTTGCTGGATATGAATGAAATATTGTCACGATGTATCTAAAACTGGGAATTTTAACAAATAATTTTTAGAAGTAAATCAATAATTTTAAAAACTGAGACTTGGGGTATACTAAGTGGTAGAATGCTTGCCTACCATAAGCACAAGGCCCTGGGTTTGAGCCCCCAGCACTGCAAAAAATAAAAAATAAAAAAAACTCTCCAAACATGGAGATTTTCAGCCTCATGAATTGAGATAAGTTACCCATTATGTTGGGTAGAAGTCTCTGTCCATTAAACTCTTCTTTATAGGTGAACCATACATTGATAATAAGATACTAGGTCAGAGGATATTCTCTCTGTTTGTAAGCCTAGGAAGAGTTATGAACAGATTTGATGTAACACACACACGTAAAGCTCTCTATTGGGGTCACGCTACAAATCTCCATGACCAGGAAATTTAGGATCTCATCAGAAGATACAGGATTAACAGTCGTTGGCCACAGGAAAACCTGTGACAGTCTGTGCATCCAGGTTTGTGTTGGGGACATTTAAAATTCTTTCTACTAGCTATTTTGAAGTATACAGTTAATTGTTTAGTTTTTATTCTGCTGTGTTCATTAAAATATAACACATGAGACAGTTTAACAAATAGCCAGAACATCCCTGTTGTCCAGTCTAGTTCCATAAATTCTGGTATTGATGTGGATCAGCTAGAGAAAACATTTCCCTGGGTGTAGCTTTAAGTGTTAGTGCCTGCTCGCTGGAGAGATGCTCCCCAAATAATTTAGCTTTCTTGCAAATACTGTGTGTACTGAAAGGAGAGAGAAAAAGAAATGTGTTAGGCTCATACTTTGTGTTAAGGTCTGTATTCAGTGTATAAAAATTCATCATCTCATTTCCTTTATCTGTAACAGCCTTTTGAAATAGATATCACTTTCTCCCTTTTACAGATGAAGCCATTTTGGCCCAGAGAGATTAGAAACTCTTCCAAAGTCACGCAGCCAATATACAGGGAGTCTGAGTTTAAACCTGTCTGCCAGGCTTCAGTCTGTTAGATGAATATTCTCCACCCAAAATGTTCATGTCTTTTCCATTTTTCTCCAGATGTTTAAGAGGAAAAGCAGATCTAACACTTTGAATGATTCTACTTATAACAATGATGCTAATGGCTTCCTGTTGTTTCAGAGTGTATCGTTTTAAAAATCCATCAATCCCTAGTATTTTTTAATTCTGTCACTTTTATTCCAGCAAGACTTTATTTATCAAGAAACTCTTGCTCTCATCCTATCCCTCAAATGTCAGTTTC